TAGTCACCTAATTTCCCTCAGTACCGAATTGGAGGAAATATATCGGATTGCGTTTGACCAGGAAATTCTCATAAGACAGGCATGTAATTCTCTTCTACCGTGAGTAAAACTACACATGCGTGAAGATACCTTTTGGATAGCGCTTAACTCCAGGCACTTGAAAGGCTTCTAATTAAGACCTCTACAATATAATGCGGTGCATGTTACATGGAGCGCCGTAAATCACACAAGACAAATGAAACCACCCCGAGATCAGGCTAAATAAATTATTGTTTAGAAAAACTACATTAAACTAGGAAGCAGCACGCCTAATGCGAAGCAAGCCACTCCTACTGTTTGAAATCCGCGCATCTAAGGTTGATTTAGCACGAAAGAACAGAAATCGATACGATAGGTGCCGATTAAAGCCTCAGACCACTTTATTTGATTTGAGAGCAAAAATAAGTCAGATTAGGTGCGAATGCAGATGCGTTGCCAATGCTGAGGGGTCTTTTTTCAGTGCTACGAACGATCTTTTCAAACCCAATCCAAGAGCAGATGATTAGCAGCTAAGGGCAAAACAATGCCCTCATACCTGGTAAACTCGGCATCAAGTGGTGATGAAACTGAGCAAAAGAAACACTTCAAGAGAGGAACATTATTTCAAGTAAAATGAATTCGGCAGCTAACAGCAGCCTAAGGATCCACGGAAAATGGGACAACACAGATAGTAGAACTGACCTGCGGATCACTACATCCATCGAGAACAGCATGCTGCATTCTCAAATTCGTTAGTTGCAACATCTTCTGGAACCGCACAGCGCTCGCACTCGTAATTTCACTCATCTGCTTCATCCGGAGAGCCATAATTTTGTCAAATGAACTGGCGATTTGTGCAAGGTTCTCCTTGGCTCGAGGAGGCAATGGAGGTCTCGACGACAAGCGACTGGGCGAGCGTGAATAAGCTATGGCGCGCATTCCCGACCCCTATGTTAACAAAATCAGAATGAGAGGACAAACGCGAACCCCTTTACCGTTTGTGAAGTGACCAGTTTCAGCTGCTGCCGCAAACGACGATTTTCAGCCAATAGTTTCTTTAACGTCTCTGCATCAGCTGACGTCATGTTGGCCACATTGACAGATATGGTGTTGCGAATCTTTTTCGCACGAGTGGCATACTAGTGGAATAAGCGGGTAAATGATAATCCTATTACCTGAAGGGTGTTGATGGACTCATTCATGTCAATCTCAGCAGGAGAAATGCAGGCAATAAGGACAGTGCGGGAATTCCCACCCAGAGAGTCGCAGAGAAGGCGAGTAAGCTTGGAATCGCGGTATGGAACATGTTTCTGGTTTTCCGAAAGCGCATTGATGACATTTCCCAAAGCAAGCAGTCCGTAATTGATTTTGATTCCCTCCTTTGCTCGCTCGCCCTCTGCGCCCGTACGACCTAACCTCTCACTCCCAGCAAGATCAACGAAATGAAACTTCGAAGAAATTAATTCAACACGAGAATCGCCCTGAAAGTTAATGAGCATATACAAGAAGCATATCTTGAGACACTTACCTCAACCTTCTTTCGTTGACTGATATGCAAAGTTAAGATGGCATGCGACCTAGAACTATGTGCATTCATTTTCGTGGATCCGGTGGACCTGGACTCACCACCCGCTCTTATAAGGTGTAACGCCTTCGGAGAAATAACAAAAACAATTATCCAACACTTACGTCGCATACTGAATTTATTCGTACTGATGTTGCACCGGAGAGATAAATTCCACCACCAACCTTTTCCTGTATTTTAACGGGATTCTACGGATATACTGCAAAAAAGTTTCCACAATCTTACCTTCCTGGGAGTGAGCAAATCCCTTAGCTCTTCGTTATACAACTAGGAAAAAAGTGTCATAACTCGGGATTACTTCAATAAACTGAGCTTCCACCGCAATTTCACTGTCTGTTATGTTCCCCATTTGATCGAAGAGATTAACAATAGCACGTGGAATTATTCCCACACCATCTGTCATTGAAAAGTCCTCGACTTCATATGATGTTCCCATAGTGTAAGTTTTCCCCGAGCCAGTCTAAACAGAACTAAAGAAAACCGCTATACACAAACCTGCCCATAAGCGAGTACTGTGGCATTTACCCCAATGAGACAGCTAAAGATAAAGTTCACAAAATACAACCCACTCGTTGACAAGAGGAGCGACTAAGACGTCATAAACCGAAGTTTGGTCTGTCCCTGATGGAAAAATATGATCGAAAGTAAAGGAACGATCAACACCGATTATGAGAGAAGAGGAAGCTGGGTCATGCACAACGACATCTCCCACGCCATGTTCGCCAAGTGGACGGACGCTAAAAAATAAGAAACAGAAAAGAAAATTGACTACCGAACTGCCACGGTTATCTTGTCTGAGACGACCATTTTTGAAAAGCGATGCTCGAACCCAGAGCCAAATGCGTTCCGTTGTAGTTCGAAAATTTCAAACAATATTAGTAATACAGAGAACGGATGAAGAGTGACTAACAATTTTTTTTGCCACTTTAATCGTCAAGTTAACATTTCATGGCTTAAATATGTAAGCCTTTAAATGAC